CACTGCTGTTTGACTCATTCATACACTGCTGTTTGACTCATTCATACACTGCTGTTTGACTCATTAATACGCTGCTGTTTGACTCATTCATACACTGCTGTGTGACTCATTCATACACTGGTGTTTGACTCATTCATACACTGCTGTGTGACTCATTCATACGCTGCTGTTTGACTCATTCATACACTGCTGTTTGACTCATTCATACACTGCTGTTTGACTCAGTCATACACTGCTGTGTGACTCATTCATACGCTGCTGTTTGAATCATTCATACACTTATGTGTGACTCATTCATACACTGGTGTTTGACTCATTCATACGCTGCTGTTTGACTAATTCATACGCTGATGTTTGACTCATTCATACGCTGATGTTTGACTTATTCATACCCTGCTGTTTGACTCATTCATAGGCTGCTGTTTGACTCATTCGTACGCTGATGTTTGACTCATTCGTACGCTGATGTTTGACTCATTCATACGCTGATGTTTGACTCATTCATACGCTGCTGTTTGACTCATTCATACGCTGCTGTTTGACTCATTCATACGCTGATGTTTGACTCATTCATACGCTGCTGTTTGACTCATTCATACGCTGCTGTTGGACTCATTCATACACTGCTGTTTGACTCATTCATACGCTGATGTTTGACTCATTCATACACTGCTGTTTGACTCATTCATACACTGCTGTTTGACTCATTCATACGCTGCTGTTTGACTAATTCATACGCTGCTGTTTGACTCATTCATACGCTGCTGTTTGACTCATTCATACGCTGCTGTTTGACTCATTCATACGCTGCTGTTTGACTCATTCATACGCTGCTGTTTGACTCATTCATACGCTGCTGTTTGACTCATTCATACGCTGCTGTTTGACTCATTCATACGCTGCTGTTTGACTCATTCATACGCTGCTGTTTGACTCATTCATACGCTGCTGTTTGACTCATTCATACGCTGCTGTTTGACTCATTCATACGCTGCTGTTTGACTCATTCATACGCTGCTGTTTGACTCATTCATACGCTGCTGTTTGACTCATTCATACGCTGCTGTTTGACTCATTCATACGCTGCTGTTTGACTCATTCATACGCTGCTGTTTGACTCATTCATACGCTGCTGTTTGACTCATTCATACGCTGCTGTTTGACTCATTCATACGCTGCTGTTTGACTCATTCATACGCTGCTGTTTGACTCATTCATACGCTGCTGTTTGACTCATTCATACGCTGCTGTTTGACTCATTCATACGCTGCTGTTTGACTCATTCATACGCTGCTGTTTGACTCATTCATACGCTGCTGTTTGACTCATTCATACGCTGCTGTTTGACTCATTCATACGCTGCTGTTTGACTCATTCATACGCTGCTGTTTGACTCATTCATACGCTGCTGTTTGACTCATTCATACGCTGCTGTTTGACTCATTCATACACTGCTTTTTGACTCATTCATACACTGCTGTTTGACTCATTCATACGCTGCTGTTTGACTAATTCATACGCTGATGTTTGACTCATTCATACACTGGTGTTTGACTCATTCATACACTGCTGTTTGACTCATTCATACGCTGCTGTTTGACTAATTCATACGCTGATGTGTTATAGAGAGCTTGTTTACAGAATATTTCTCGTGCGTGCCCTCTGATTGACCCTGCATGAGACGCTGTGTTCACAAAGGGGTGTGGCTTAGGTCTTTGAAGTGGCTTGTTTACAATCGGCTTCCAATTACGCATTGGGTAGATTGTTTTCGGGTAATTTCTGGAATATACTCCTTAACCCGAGATATGTAAACAACACGTCATAAGCCCTTCTCGAAGCATCTTACTCTACATATATATAAGAGATTGACAGGCACGAAGAGAGAGTTTTTTTTGAGATATATTCTCTTAACAATTACGAGGCGTGTTTTATTCTTTGTGTATTTGTGTGCTCATACTTATATGTGTTTATTCCGCATTATTTATTGGCATCATTATTTCTAATTGTATTAAGTGTGTACCGGTACGACATCTGCCATACTGTAAGTTGAAGATTGTAATTTTATTTTATTTTATTTTGTAATTATCTTAAGACATAATAAATCTTAATTAATTGTAACTAGAAACTGTTTTGGGTCGTATCTTTAATATTGTTGATTATATGGTATCGTCCTTTGTTAGGCACTGTTTACAACGAGCCAATGAAAATTAAAATAGGAGATTAATTTCTCCCAATACAAGTCAGTGCGTAACAAATGTTTGACTCATTCATACGCTGATGTTTGACTCATTCATACGCTGCTGTTTGACTCATTCATACACTGCTGTTTGACTCATTCATACACTGCTGTTTGACTTATTCATACACTTCTGTTTGACTCATTCATACGCTGCTGTTTGACTCATTCATACGCTGCTGTTTGACTCTTTCATACGCTGATGTTTGACTCATTCATACACTGCTGTTTGACTCATTCATACGCTGATGTTTGACTCATTCATACACTGCTGTTTGCCATAGCTGGAACGTCGTGCAGCAATGATCTCCGATGCGTTGATTTCAATGTTGTCTTTCCTCGTGCTCCAAATAAAAACGTTCTCAAATCGCACCCGTGGCCGTCCAATGCACCCGTGGCCGTCCAATGCACCAGTGGCCGTCCAATGCACCCGTGGCCGTCCAATAAGTCTCCACCCTTCTGCCAACTCTCTACAGAGCAGATCATTTGGAATACGGCCTTCCTCCATTCTCCTTACATGGCCTAACAAGCGAAGGCGCCTCTCGCTACACATTTTTGCACCTTCTCCTGCCATAGAATGCTTTAGATGTGACACAGACACCTTTGATGGAAGCTTTTGAGTTTCTTCTCATGACTCCCATATGTGGTCCACACTTCACTGCCATATAGGAGCGTACTAAGCACACTTGCCTGATAGGCACTTAGTTTTGTTTTATCATTTGGAGAGAGATTATTCAACACCCGCATATTCAATTTAGCCACAGTTGCGGTTGCTTTTGCGATCCTGATGTTTACCTCTTCGTCAACGAAGAGTGAGCTAGAGATATTGGATCCGAGGTATGTGAAATGCTCAACTACCAGCAGGTTATGGCCCTCAATAAATATGTTTGGTGGGGCGGTGCTTCTTGCATCGGGACATTAGTTTTCTCTAGACTAATGGACAGTCCCAGCTCTTTACATGCGTGTGAGAGGCTATTAACTGACCACTGAAGACATGCTTCTGTGTGCGATGCTATGGCGGCATCGTCAGAGAACAGCAGGTCACGAATTAGTACATTTTATTTACCTTGGTCTTGCACGATTTAGTAGAGATTTACACTCTCGTCACAGTCCATGAAGGCAAGCTAAGCTGAAGACGCATCGAGAAGAAAATGGACAAGGGCGCAGGTCCCAGTACACATCCTTGTTTTACTCCGCTGCTGACTGGAAATGCCTCAGAGACAGCGCCATTGAAGGTTACTGTGATGTGCATGTTTTTGTGATATGACTGTATGACTTTGAGCATTCGCGGGGGACAACCTATTCTATGCAAGATACTGAACATGCCACTTCGGATTCCCATGTGGGATGCCTTGTTCAAATCCATGAAAGCAATGCAATAAGGTCTATGCTGATCACGATACTTCCCCTACAATTGGGGAAACGAGAACATCATGCCTGTAGTTGAACGAATACTTCGGAAGCTAAACTGGGCCTCTAGGTAGATGCGGTTTTATGTTTATTTAATGATTAAAGATTTTGCCACACAGCAAGGCGGTGACCTGAATGATCGCTACAACTGTGGTATGATGATATCAAGTTTGAAGAAGATGACCAAAATGACCACTACACCGCAGGATGTCTCGTAGAAAAAGCATATTCTGACTTAACTCTTATCTGTTCATCTTGGTCTCACTTTTCATCTTGGTCCCACTTTTCATTGAAACTGACACGAATAGATTTTACAACAAAAATGTTTATTTTGTTGGTTTTTTTTTCTAGCCTTTTAATCAATGCCCCGTCTATCTGCTTCTCTGCTTTGGGCATGGACAAATCGTTGCCCTGAATCCTCAATGATATGCTAATTTGCATACATGAAATTTTATTCAAATTCAGCTTTCAGATTATGTTTGACCTTTGCCATAATCTATTTCAAAATATTAACTTGTCCATAACAAGTTTCGCAATATTCTTCTATGATATCGTCAACTGAGCCAAAGTTTGAATTCCTCTTATCATTGCGCACTTACCAACGGCGACTAACACCAGTTTTTGAAAGACTGGGTCAAGGGTTCTTATGGACAGGGCCGAGCAAAAAGGGGTAGCGAAGGGGGCACTCGCCCCGGACGCAAGCATCAGTGGGGGCACCATACGATTCTTTTCAAAGGACGTTTAATAGTGATTTAAACGCTAACGTACGATGATGTACTTCACAAAGACGAAGGGGCGCCAAAATGTCATTTGCTGGTCAGCCTGGGGGCACAGTTTTTGTCAGTCTTTACCCCTGGCGCCGCTTTTCCTTGGCACGGCTATGATTAAGGGTAACGTCACGGCCATGATTAAGGGTAACGGCACGGCCATGATTAAGGGTAACGGCACGGCCATGATTAAGGGTAACGGCACGGCCATGATTAAGGGTAACGGCACGGCCATGATTAAGGGTAACGGCACGGCCATGATTAAGGGTAACGGCACGGCCATGATTAAGGGTAACTGCACGGTCATGATTAAGGGTAACGGCACGACCATGATTAAGGGTAACCCCACAGAGTGGAACTCTTTATTGTTTGTTTGTTTGTTTTTTTTTAATTTTTTTTTTATTAAATCTATTTACGGTTGGGTCGGGGGTGGGGGCAAGCTTAAGGCCATCTTTTCGATTTCAACCATTGTTTTTAATGACTAAATTTGAATGAACTATTCGAATGGATTAGTGCACCACGGATCGTGTTAGGTATACTCCCCTGGCAAAGTGAAAAATAGACACTATCTAGACTTTTAGTTGACCAGGAAAGCTCTGTCGCAATAACAGGCTTGATAACTAGATAAATAGGGTCAGGACTTGCAGGTGTATGGGACACTTTCCAGTTCTCTGAGTGTAACTGCGACTTTCAGAAGACCATGGCTAACTGCGTGATATTGGTGTTGGTGGGTAAGTTATGCCAGATTACAGGGCTAACTGCGTGATATTGGTGTTGGCGGGTAAGTTATGCCAGATTACAGGGCTAACTGCGTGATATTGGTGTTGGCGGGTAAGTTATGCCAGATTACAGTTGCTAACTATTTGATATTGGTGTTGGTGGGTAAGTTATGCCAAATTACAGTTGCTAACTATTTGATATTGGTGTTGGTGGGTAAGTTATGCCAGATTACAGTTGCTAACTATTTCATATTGGTGTAAGTTAAGTTATATGAGAAGACTATGGATAAATCCATGATATCGGTGTTAGTGGATCACTTATGTCCCGATGCATGGATCCAAGCTTCCTTTAATTTCATGGACCATATGTTCATGAAGCAGTATTATATATATTATTCATATGTCTGCTTTTTTCCAAATCAAATAGTCTCCGTAGTGCGTTTATATAGTAAATGATTTTATTTTAATATTATTTTTTTTATAATGAAAAATTTGGCTTTGAAAATAAAATGTTGCCGTAATGGCTTTTATATACAAATTTGTCCATAATGCCTTTTAATATATTTATAAACAATAATTTAAGTCCATTCTATTTTATTATGTAACTATCAATAATATCTGATCAACATACTTCAATGATATTTAGTTAACTAATCGCTTCATATTAAATGTACCCTGTAGCGAGCCTGTACTTTATTAAGCCATAAAAGATTTCTTAGCAAGTTACGTTATGAGTTTGCCATAAAACGGCAATCATAAAATCATTTATATTAACTTAGCTTTTGTTCGTGGCTGGCAAACTCTTCGTACGGCTAATTAATCCATGTCCCGTCAACCTATCGAGGTGAAACTTGGCACATAGACTCGTTGCCAATGAAAACACATTCCGTGAAATTTTGAGCCCCAACCTCCAAAAATCAGGTTTTCCTGTTTTTAAAATGGGAAGATGAAGGAACTAGGATGACACAGATTTCACAAAATAATATTCCCAATAACTGGGCTCAATGAGATTATTTTTTTAAAAAAAGAAAGAAAGAAATGCATTTGGTGCGTAATATTTTCTTTCTTTCCTTTTTTTCTAAAATATTTATGGGAATAAATCGAAGGAGTAAAAGCGGGTAGCTCATTAAAATATTTATATAGTTTCAGGGGCGGGAAAAAAATGCGAGTTAGTCTTGGAGTGGGGGGGGGGCTAATTGGGATTATTATTATTCAGTGCCTTTCTTATTTTACGGTTTGTTAACCCTAACCCTAGCACTAACCCTAACCCTAGCCCTAACCCTAACCCTAACCCCAACCCCAACCCTAACCCAGTTTGTTTAACTTTACTAGAACTAGTCACTCAAGTTTCCCTGACACTGAATACAATTTACGTCAGAGCTACCTTAGATACAAAGTTGTCTTCTATCTAGTGCTGCCAATTATTATAAATTATAATAGGGTGATTGGTGTCTACCAATGGGTGATTGGTGATCACGTTGTTACTAAAAGGATGATCATGGTGTTACTAAAGGATGATCATGGTGTTACTAAAGGGTGATCATGGTGTTACAATAGGGTAATCATGGTTTTACTAAAGGGTAATCATGGTGTTACTAAAGGGTGATCATGATGTTACAATAAGGTAATCATGATGTTACTAAAGGTTAATCATAGTGTTACTAAAGGGTGATATTTGAGTTACTAAAGAATGATCATGGTGTTACTAAAGGATAATGAGTTTAAAACATCACCATGAGTATCGAGCTAATATTGAGCCGTTAAAGAAGACGAAACATTTCATAGAAAAGCAGAAATCATGTGAAATGAACACATATTAGTAGATATGAACTGAACTTTTTGCCAGAGCTGATGTTTTTAGTAGATATGAACTGAACTTTTTGCCAGAGCTGATGTTTTTAGTAGATATGAACTGAACTTTTTGCCAGAGCTGATGTTTTTAGTAGATATGAACTGAACTTTTTGCCAGAGCTGATGTTTTTAGTAGATATGAACTGAACTTTTTGCCAGAGCTGATGTTTTTAGTAGATATGAACTGAACTTTTTGCCAGAGCTGATGTTTGCCCTACTCCCCAACCTTACGCCCCCCCCCCCATACTTCCAGCTTGCTTTGTCTCCAGCTACGCCCAGGTCAACAGCTGTGGTGGTGCCCTAGCAGAATGCATAAATACGTATGGCGGGTCGAATACGTAAGTACACTGGACTTGTATGGTGGAATCTAATATGCAAGTGCACTAGACTTGTAAAGTGGAATCTAATATGCAAGTACATTAGACTTGTATGGTGGGGTCTAATATGAAAGTGCATTAAACTTGTCTGGTGGGGTTTAATGATGTAAGTGAATTAGACTAGTGTGGTTGGGTGAAATATGTAGGTGTGAGTGCAAAAGGCCTGTATGGTGGGGCCAAATATGAAAGTGTACTAATCTTGTATGTGGGGCAAAATATGTAAAAGTACTAGAATTGTATGGTTGAGTCAAATATGTAAGTGTACTAGACTTGTATGATGGGGTCAAATATGTAAGTGTACTAGACTTTATGGTCGGGTCAATTATGTAAGTGTACTAGACTTTATGGTGGGGCCAAATATGTAAATGTACTAGAATTGTATGGTGGAGTCAAATATGTAAGTGTACCATACTTGTATGATGGGGTAAAATATGTAAGTGTACTAGACTTTATGGTGGGGTCAAATATGTAAGTGTTCTAGACTTGTATGGTGGGGCCAAATATGTAAGTGTACTAGAATTGTATGGTGGAGTCAAATATGTAAGTGTATTAGACTTATTAGCGTGTCTAATATGTTATTTTACTAGACTTGTATGGTGGGTTCCAGTCTTATATTTTATTGTACTAAACTTGTATGGGGTTCATGCACGGAGTAAAAAGCCTTTGATCAATTCGAATGGAAGAATGTGGTGGAGCAGACAAGGGCTCTACATGGGGTGTAGCGCCACTGATGATGATGACTATACTTAGCGGGTCTAATGCTTAAGTGCATTAGACTTGTATGTTGGGGTCAAATATGTAAGTGTACTAGACTTGTATGGTGGGGGTTAATTTGTGAGTGTACAACACTTGTATCGTGCGGTCAAATATGTGAGTATCTTAGACTTTATGGGGGTCAGATATGTAGGTGTACTAGAAATGTATGGTGGGGTAATGTATGTGAGTGTAAGTGATCTAGACCTGCATTGTTGGGTCTAATATGTAAGTTAACTAGACTTGTATGGTGGGTTGAAATATGTAAGTTTACTAGAATTGTATGATGGGGTCAAATATCTAAGTGTACTATATTTGTATGGTGGATTCAAATATGTAAGTGTACTAGACTTGAATGGTGGGTTCAAATATGTAAGCTTACTATGCATGTATCGTGGGGTCAAATAAGTAATTGTACAAGACTAGTAAGGTGGGGTCACATATAACAGTGTACTAGACATGTATGGGATCAGATATGAAAGTGTACTAGAAATGTATCATAGGGTAAAATATGTAACTGCAAGTGCTCTAGACCTATATGGTGGGGTCTAAAATGTAAATGCACTAGACTTGTATTTTTGGGTCTAATATGTAAGGGTCTAAAATGTAAATGCACTAGATTTGTATTTTTGGGTCTAATATGTAAGTGAACTAGACTTGTATGGTGGGTTTAAAAATGTAGGTGTACTAGACTTATATGGTGGGGTCAAGTAGAGAACAGTAAGCTAACTGATGTGCTTGTGCTGGACTTTTCAAAAGCTTTTGACATCGTCAGCCATAACTTTTTATTACACAAACTGCAGAGATATGGGATTCAAGGCACTACCAAAACATGGATCTCTAGCTTCCTCAGCGACCAATGCCAGGCAGTAGTGGTAGATGGCAAAACCTTCTCCTTTGTCGGAATCAAGTCAGGGGTTCCCCAGTGACAGTTTGGAGGCCCTTGTTTGTTCCTATCATATATCAATGATCTGCCCGAGAAGCTGACCTCTCAAGCAAGACTGTTCGCAGACGACACGGCGGTATATAGAACAATCGTCAACAGTTCTGACCAGAGCCAACTCCAACAAGACCTCAATCGGTTAGCTGAGTGGGAGATGAGCTGGGACATGGAATTTCATCCCCTCAAGTGCCAGACCCTGTCAGTCTCCAGAAGCAGATCCCCTCAAAACCACTCTTACCAATTGCATGGCCATATTCTTGAGCCAGTTTCCTCAGTTAAGTACCTAGGTGTTACCTTTCAAAGAGAGGTCCGCTGGGACGAGTACATTAACAGTGTGTGCAACCGGGCAAACAAGCCCCTGGGGTTCCTAAGGCGCAATCTAAAGATCGGCAACTCAAGCGTGAAAGAAAAAACCTATAAAGCCTTTCTCCGGCCTCTTTTAGAGTACGCTTCTACAGTCTGGGAGCTATTTACCCAGAAAAGCATCGCCAGGTTGGAGGCGGTCAAGCGACGGGCAGCACGCTTTACCCAAACCGCTACAGAAACACCTCAAGTGTTGGCAGCATGCTAGAAACACTGGGCTGGCCAACATTGGAAGAACGACGGCGACTATCCAGGCTCACCATGTTGTACAAGATCAAAAATGGGCTGGTCCACTGCTCCGGCATCAAACAGAAACTCGTTCATCTTCCCCCTAGACAGCGACGAGGCCACGACAGACAGTTCCGGCTGGTAAAAACAAGAACAAAGTACAGGAGCTCCTCATTCCTGCCGAAGACAATCAGGGACTGGAACAAGCTTTCAAAAGGAACAGTTGAGGCGACAACACTCGACACATTTGTGTCTATTCCTGTATTCCAACCCCCAGTTCTTGACATCACTTCTGAGTAGCCCTTGCAACCAGTGAAGTATCCCTTTGAAACACATGCACAGTAATATCGCGAACCCCTCTGAAACACAGGAGCCAGAATGATCTATTCACTGATCGTGGACCCTCAAGATAAAGAAGAAGAAGAATTTTAATATACCTTTATGGTGTTGTCAAATATGAAAGTGTATTTGACTTGTATGAGGTTCAAATATGTAGTGTACTAGACTTGTATGTGGGGTCAAATAGGTAAGTCTATTATACTTGTATGGTAGGGTCAAATATGTAAGTGTAGTTGACTTGTAGGAGGTCAAATATGTAGGTGTACTACACTTTATAGGGGTCAAATTAGTGTATTAGACTTGCATGGTGGGGTCAAATTTTTAATTGTATTAGAAATGTATTGGGGTCAAATATGTATGTGTACTAGACTTGTATCAGACTTTTATTGCGGAGACCAATACACATGTAAATGGCATCGTAAGCAGTGATGTATCTAGGGTTAGTGTCACCTAGCAGTGGCGCACCTAAGTTTAATATCTCCTGCAAGTGGTGCATCTAGGGTTAGTGTCACCTGGCAGTGGTGCACCTGAGGTTAGTATCGCCCAGCAGTAGCGCACCTAGGGTTAGTGTCGCCTTGCTGTTGTGCACTTAGGGTAAGTTTCTTATGGCAGTGGTGCACAAAGGGTTAGTGTCACCTGGCAGTGGTGCACCTAGGGTTAGTATCGCCTGGCAGTGGTGCACCTAGGGTTAGTGTCGCCTAGCTGTTGTGCACTTAGGGTAAGTTTCTTATGGCAGAGGTGCACCTAAGGTTAGTGTCGCCTGGGAGTAGTCCACCTAAGGTTAGAGTCACCTGGCAGTGGTGCATCTAGGGTTAGTGTCACCTGGCAGTGGTGCATCTAGGGTTAGTGTCGCCTGGCAGTGGTGCACCTAGGGTTTGTATTGCCTGGCAGTGGTGCACCTAGGGTTTGTGTCGCCTTGCAGTGGCGCACCTAGGGTAAGTGCCACCTTGGTCGGGCTAAAAATAATTCCACCCTTTCTTCTTCTTAAGGAGAACGAGGCATCTTATACTTACACTCAAGTGAGATTTCATTTCATATGACGCCATTAACCCGTTTACTTACAGTAAAGTTGGCACATTTGTAGCATCACGTTGGATTAAACTGTTTATTTTTTGTGTAATTGAATATTTATTGATCAAATCTTTTACAGGAGCTACTACTCTTACGAGTCATGTGTATCAAGAAGTTACTGCCCTTATTACATTGATCCAAATTTCGATGCCAAAAGGCAACATGTTTTGAACTACATCTCAGCACTGAGGAGCGAAAGTAAGATATAATTTTTTATTGTGAAATAACTCATAAATCTAGTTCAATCATGTTATAGGTGTAATTTACGTTTTTAGTGCTGTAATTTACACTTTTATGGATGTAATTTACGTTTTTATAAATGTAATTTACATTTTTATGGATGTAATTTACGTTTTTATGGAGTAATTTAAGTTTTTATGGCTGTAATTTACATTTTTTTAATGTAATTTACGTTTTTATGGCTGTAATTAGCGTTGTTATTGATGTCATTTAATTTAATGGGGCTGCGATATTTCTTTTTTTAGTTTTGGCAGCAATGTCTTATCAATGTCTTGTCAATGTCTTATCAATGTCTTATCAATGTCTTATCAATGTCTTATCAATGTCTTACAAATGTCTTATAAATGTCTCATAAATGTTTACGTTTGTATTCCAGGTGCATCATACAATTCAACGTTTGACTGCCTACGTGGTTTGGACAACTGCAGACGAGCTTATAGCCGTAACATACAAGACTTGTGAGTCTCTGTTATAGACATGTATACTATTAGGACATCAAAGACTTGAAAGTCCCTGTTATAGACATACTTACTGTTAATGTTCATATGTTCATCTTAGGTTTGCACTAACTACAACATCAACCATTCTGACTTGAGCAGCCTATAGTTAATGTAGTTAGCCTCTCTCCCGGGGGAGGGTTGTATGATGGACAGCTCGTTCAAAAGGTTTCATCTCCCTTATTGTATTCTCATTGTAATTGTTAGTTCGATTGGTATTCTGTGTTGTCATCAAACTCAATGAGATTTAACTCCTCAATCATGGCATCAAACTCAATGAGATTTAACTCCTCAATCATGGCATCAAACTCAATGAGATTTAACTCCTCATTCATGGCATCAAGCTCAATGAAATTTAACTCTTCATTCATGGCATCTAACTCAATGAGATTTAACTCCTCATTCATGGTACCAAACGCAATGAGATTTAACTCCAAATTCATGGCATCAAACTCAATGAGATTTAACTCCTCATTCATGGCATCAAACTCAATGAGATTTAACTCCTCATTCATGGCATCAAACTCAATGAGTTTTAACTCCTCATTCATGGAATCAAACTCAATGAAATTTAACTCCTCATTCATGGCATCAAACTCAATGAGATTTAACTCCTCATTCATGGTACCAAACGCAATGAGATTTAACTCCTCATTCATGGCATCAAACTCAATGAGTTTTAACTCCTCATTCATGGAATCAAAGTCAATGAAATTAAAATTTAACTCCTCATTCATGGCATCAAACTCAATGAGATTTAACTCCTCATTCATGGTACCAAACGCAATGAGATTTAACTCCTCATTCATGGTACCAAACGCAATGAGATTTAACTCCTCAATCATGGCATCAAACTCAATGAGATTTAACTCCTCATTCATGGCACCAAACTCAATGAGATTTAACTCTTCATTCATGGCATCAAACTCAATGAGATTTAACTGCTCATTCATGGCATCTTATTGGGTTTCTTTAGTTTTTAAACATTTACACTATTTTTGGACACTCATTGTCAGTGACGTAGCTAGGGTTCGTGTCACCCGGTGCGGTAAATTCATGGTGTCACCCGCCCCCTTGACTTCCACGATGGATTTCTTCTTGTTAAAATAGGTGACAAGAAGAAAAACAATGCAGTTGAAGGTCAGAAGGTCAATGTTTTTAAGAACTGTAACAATGTTAATTTCTAGTTATTTTTACATTAAATTTACTTTAATAAAACTTTCCTTTCGCCGTATCACTTTCAATTGATAGCAGGGCCAGATCAGAAGGCTTAACTGTCCCATGGTGACATTGATAGTAGGGCCAGATCAGAAGGCTTGAATGTCCCATGGTGACATTGATAGCAGTGCCAGATCAGAAGGCTTGACTGTCCCATGGTGACATTGATAGTAGGGCCAGATCAGAAGGCTTGACTGTCCCATGGTGACATTGATAGTAGGGCCAGATCAGAAGGCTTGACTGTCCCATGGTGACATTGATAGTAGGGCCAGATCAGAAGGCTTGACTGTCCCGTGGTGACTATTTGACTATCATAAATAGGTGTTGATTAGCATTAGTTTTGGATATCTCAGCTCAAATTAAGCCACAGACACACAGATCGTAAAAAACTATTGAAATCTTAGAGAGAGTATGCGATGTCCCATTCAGCTATCAATTTAAAAAAATCGAATATTGAACAGTCCAGGACTTTTTAAAATTCAATATCAGATACATTTAGGTGTCTTCTAAGCATTTGTGTATTTCTTTTAAAAGTTATTTGTCAGATAACTCATTATAGAAAGAAGTTAATTTTGGAACAGACACCAATAACTCTTCTTCACTTACTGAAAGTTGGGTTGAACACCGCCAAGCATTTACTTTTTCGCTGATGATCTGATCGGGGGCTCAGAATGAAAGCGCTCAATACATTCCAGCATCTCCCTACTGTTTTCTTCTCACAAAGAGAGTCCAGCATCTATTAATTTTTATCCTACTATTCTCTTCGTAGCCCCGAATCTTTCTACAAATAAATATTCCTCATTATTAAGACTTAAAAAGTGCCTTTTCAATAACATGCTCCACCAAGTGACAGCGCTTTTAGGGCAGAAACAATCTTAAGGCCTCTATTTTTGTCACCATTTTGTCAAGTGTAAATCCTTTAGTCTGCAGAGACTGATATGTAAGTTTAACTTCCTCAAGTAGATGAGCCCAAAGGTAAAAGTAGCAGATAAACATGAAATCACAGACAGCATGTAAACACCCTGTGTTACATGAAAATAGTGCTCAAATGTTAAGGGGCGGTGCTAGTGACGAATCGGCGACATATTAATTTTTGAGTATTTCTGTGTTTCTAGATATTTCAAATTTAGTTTCAAAAACATTTTACAAAATTTAAAAAACTTAAGTTAATTACTAAAAGATATTATAGAATTTTGTAAAATATAATTTTGTTAACCTTATAAATGGGCAAAAAGTCGTTTTTTTATTATTTCTTTTTTCAATTTACCAATTCAATTCATGTCCTTAGAATCGCCCGACCACATTGTAATTGGTATCAATGGAAAGCTTTATTTCTTAGAACTTAAATGACTATAGCTTCCATTCACTCTTGAAAGTTACCAACCACTTCAATAGGCGTTGAATCATGGTCAAAACGATGTATTTCTAACCTCTTTGTAGTTTCACCTCATTTCTTACGCATCAAACTTGAACTTTTAATAAAGCATGCATTTGGATTGGTTACATATGTGGAAAATTATCGTGTGATCGGTTATCCTTTTATGAAATTCGGCTAGAACCAGCCGTGTGTGCTCTGTAAATATACAATTTTTCAATTTGGTTTCACCCTCTAGGATCGTGACGCACCCACACACACCCTAGCTACGCCACTGCTCATTGCGCCATCATTGTCATGGAAACAGACGTGGTATCAGTGCGCCATTTTATTTAATAATAATAATAATAAATTTTATTTCATAAACATGCTTCATCCCCAAAGCCTCGAAGCGCGGTACAAAGTCAAACAAAAAATAATAATTTACCACACTTAAAACAAACGCAACACTACACAAACTAATTACAAGCATACAATGTCAAAGTCTTTCTAGCCATTTCAACCCAAAGCAACACAGCCAATATGCATTAACTGGAAAATATGGTAGACAATCATGCCAGAAGGTATTTGCGAAATAGATGTGTCTTTAAATCAGTTTTAAAGGACTCCAGTGTCTGGTTGTTTCTGAGAGCGACAGGAAGGGCGTTCCAAATTGTTGGACCAGCAAATGCGAAAGTGCGCTTTCCGTAAGTCTCAAGACGAACACGTGGTGTCGAGAGTTTGCCACTATCGGATGAGCGGAGTTGTCTAGTGGGTACATAAGGCGTCAGCAGCTCTTTCAGATAGGACGGCGCAAGGTCATGTAAACAGCTGTATCACAAAGTTGCGATTTTGTACTCTATGCGACCACGGACCGGCAGCCAATGCAACTCTCTCAGAGGTGTTTTTGCATGGTCGAACTTGCGTTTGCGGAGAACTATGCGAGCCGCATTATTCTGTGCTATTTGAATTTTATCCAGGAGCGTAGTTGGAAGACCCACCATGGGAGCATTGTAATAGTCCATGCGTGATAGCACAATAGCAGACATCAACCTCTTTGTTGCATCCATTATTAGGAAGGGCCTGATGTGACTAATCCTGCGCAGCTCTAGAAAAATCGCCTTGCATAGCATGTTAATGTGACTTTCCAAAGTTAGTATTCTACACGTTTGAGCTAACTCAATACGCACACCTGAGAGAGTAATTGATGTCGTGTTATTTGCAGAGTTTTGCTTCTGAGCGGTCGCGATGGGGATCAGCTCAGTCTTATCATCATTTAATTTGAGCTTGTTTATGGTCATCCAGAGCTTAACTGATTCCACTGTCTTCTGTGTCATACTGAGCAGCTGAGGCAACTGAGAGGGGATCACGGATTGATGAAGTTGGGTGTCGTCCGCGAACATGTGGTATTGCATATAATCAGCTTACAAACATGGGTGACACGCTAACCAATGTTGTTGTCTTTCTATCTTCCCATCAGCTACGGTGCTCAAACCTACATGAGTTGTGTCTATGGAGCCGACTGCTCCCGTGAACATTATACAATCAAGGCGGACTTGGTTGATTTCATCAGGACCAAATATAGTAGGACTTATTTTAAATATCTGGGACTTGTTGGAAAGATTTTAACTATCGGGGACTATTGGGAAAGAATATTTTAACTATCAGGATGTATTGGGAAATATTTTAACTATTAGAGACTGTTGGGAAATAAGATTTTAACTATCAGGGATTATTGGGAAATATTTTAAGTATCAGGGACTAATGAAGAAGATTGTAACGATCACGGATGTAATCACCAAAATGCATTTAGTAATAATTAAAAAGTACTGTCTTCTAGCATAATGAGATTTTTTAAGCGAGTGAAAGAACAACGTTGTTGATAAGTCAGGGACACAGGAACTATCCCAGTCAAGATTCGGTCCAACACAACAATAAAACAATGTGTTTGATGTATTCCAGTTGACAGAGAGCAAACCTATTCCATGGGTGGAGCTGCAACAGCCGGCCTGTCCCTAGTGGCCGTCACCATGGTAACACTATTAACATTGGTTTAGACGAGGACACATGCTGATGCTATCGAAACAAACACAAAGATTTATAACATTTGTTTTCCTCTCTAACCTTTATAAATACTGAATAAACGTGCATTTTATATTAAAGACAATGATAAGTCTCATGTTTTTTGGTCAATTTTCCCTCCTTTCGTCGACCCGGAAGTTATAATACTGAGCCATGGGCACCCGCAGGTAGGGGCAAGGTGGGGCACTTGCCCCCCCCCCCTGGATTGATTGAATAAAAATTTTTTAGACAAAAATAGACCAAAAAAGTATTAAAGTAAAGTGAAAATAAAGAGAAAATAACTAAGCTGATGTCCTGTCCCTTCGTTACCATACAAATACGCTACAGTAAATTAAAACTACATTAAAACATTACTAAAATTAATTTTTGCCCCCCCCCTCCTGGAAGTTAATCGATTTTTTGCCCCCCCCCCCCTAGAAAGTTTTCTGCGGGCGCACATGTACTGAGCATGTCTGCCTGTCAATGGCCACGTTCCACATTTTTTTCTTCGATGTTCATAATCTTACTTCTGTTAAATTGGAATATTGCAAAGAGTTTAAAGACGAGATGTTAACACATTTTTTTAAGTATAAGATAAACAACATAGTTGTATGTAGAATCACCAGTGGGATAAACAACATAGTTGTATGTAGACTCACCAGTAGGATAAACAACATAGTTGTATGTAGACTCACCAGTGGGATAAACAACATATTTGTATGTAGACTCACCAGTGGGATAAACAACATAGTGGTATGTAGACTCACCAGTGTGGTGAATGCCAAATGTTTGCCCTTATGTCAAATCTTTTGCTGTCTAGAAGTCGTATGATGCTGTTGTCTGTTACGATGGCATGCACACCTCGTTATACGCTCTGTTCGATTCCACCAACGCTAAAGCTTCATGGCACACGGAAACATCCATCTTGTTCACAGTTAAGTTGAGTCACGAATCCATGAGCATGAGCACGGCCAAATCCTGTATAAGATATTCAACCAAAGACTGTTCTACCTACGAATCCATGAGCATGAGCACGGCCAAATCCTGTATAAGATATTCAACCAAAGACTGTTCTACCTACGAATCCATGAGCATGAGCACGGCCAAATCCTGTATAAGATATTCAACCAAAGACTGTTCTACCTACGAATCCATGAGCATGAGCACGGCCAAATCCTGTATAAGATATTCAACCAAAGACTGTTCTACCTACGAATCCATGAGCATGAGCACGGCCAAATCATGTATAAGATATTCAACCAAAGACTGTTCTACCTACGAATCCATGAGCATGAGCACGGCCAAATCCTGTATAAGAAATTCAACCAAAGACTGTTCTACCTACGAATCCATGAGCATGAGCACGGCCAAATCCTGTATAAGATATTCAACCAAAGACTGTTCTACCTACGAATCCATGAGCATGAGCACGGCCAAATCCTGTATAAGATATTCAACCAAAGACTGTTCTACCTACGAATCCATGAGCATGAGCACGGCCAAATCATGTATAAGATATTCAACCAAAGACTGTTCTACCTACGAATCCATGAGCATGAGCACGGCCAAATCCTGTATAAGAAATTCAACCAAAGACTGTTCTACCTACGAATCCATGAGCATGAGCACGGCCAAATCCTGTATAAGA